TGGAGGCTTGATCTCCCAAATGCAGGACTGGGGCCAACTCCGGAGAGTGGGAGGTGACTTGCCGGAAGAATGGGGGAAGCAGCCGTCCGTTGTGCGAGGGCCGGCAAACACGCTGCGATGGCTAGGGCAGCAGGCGGTGAGGCAGTGGACGAAGCGGCCCCGGACTGGTGTTGGTTGGGACCTCGCGTCCTGGAGCGGCTGCGCGACCGCGTCGCTGAGCGGAGGAACCTCGGGTCATCGTCCCCATCGGAGTCGGCTGGGGCTGTTGTGGTATCTGGGTCTTCTGAGCCTTCACTCTCACTGTGTTCCTCCTCAGTGGTGGGAGAGAAAGCATCGGGGGCTGTTCAGGGTCATCGTCAAACTCAAACCCAAAGGTGAGTGTTGTGCCTTGCCGGATGTCCAGTCGGTCCCGCGCATGCGCCCCCCAATTACGCGGAGAAACCAACTCGGTGGAGGGCGGCGTCCGACGAGCCCTGGTAGATCTGCCTTCGGAATGTAGGGGCGATCAAGGACTAGGTACTTGATCCCTGAAGCAACCTGGCGCAGGTCAAGGAAGATGACGTATTGTGGCACGTCTGGAGGTAGGATATTTTGGTCGACAAAGGCGAGCACGCCTCGAACCCCAACACCTTGGTGTATCAACCTATCACAACCTTCATTGGGCGTGTGAATGTCGACTAGCTCTCTGTCGACACCAATGAACCTGGCTGCCATCTCATCCAGGGGAATGTTTCCAGCCTGGGGACGGAACAAGTGCCTGCCTCGCTGATGCAGCAGCATGAGGGATCGTAGAGGCGGTGGAGGAGGAAGTTGTGGATGTGCTGGCCACATGTCCTCGAAGTGCAGTCGATACTGAATATCCGAAGCAAAATTGGGAAGAGTGTCATCCGGCCGAAAGGACACTACACAACCATTAGCTAGCGATATGGCCTCTTCATGCTCAAGTGGGGCACTCTCAGTTCCGACGTACACTGAACAGGGCCGGAAGCCGAATGTTCCTGCCTGCCGGCACAGTTCGGCCTTGCATGTGGGCCTTGTGACATAGGCCGCGACTATGGGTCCAGACCCTGAAGGACCCATGTCCCGCAAATCTAAACAGATGGCCGAGAGTGCTGAAAAAGCCGTCCAAGAGGGGATGGCAAGGACGGTAGCACATCCTGGTATCGGCTGTGGCCTGACTGGCTGGACCCTGTCACAAAACTTTAGTCCTAGATTGCTGGTCTCTCTTTCGGCAGCATCTAGAAAGTCCTCAATGTCACAGGGCATGCCAAGTGGAAAGCGCAACACGTGCTGCAAGTGGCCAGGTGAGAGCACGATGGTGGTGCAGAGGATGTCTTTGGTCTGGACTGGCACCGTCTGCCTGGGAATCGGCTGTAGTTCAAGGCGAATAGGAAGGGGAGGGGGAGGGCCTCGTGGTGGTATGATGGCAGGATGGATGATGTCCGGGGTATGGGCTTGAGGGAATCCAGCACCATCATCAAAGGGATCCGGAGGCTCAGGATATGTACGGCCAGTATTGGCTGCTGGTGCCGCTTGTAGATCCGAAATGAGATCAGGCAGGCCCTTGGGTGCACTCCATACGCATTCGGGTAAGCTCAAGAGGCAAAAAGGCCAAACAAACCGGCTAAGTCCTAAGCGTCTGGATTGTGAGGCATGTCCCACACGACGACGGATGGCTAGGTGCTTGTAATGGTAGGGCTGATGCACACGGCCAATAGCACCTAGACAAAGCAACAGGCTGAATGGTGGGGCAACTGCAGGGGCCTTGGACGTGCTCTGACACAGACGGGCTCGCGGGCCAAGTGCTCGAACAAGTGTCATGCTGAGAGTGCACAGCAAAATGCCGGCAGCCGCATGACAAACGGCTATGGCGTGGCAGTGAAGCCAAAACAACAGGGCATGGTATGGTCCGATGTCAGGGACGGTCCATCTGTCCAGATCTCTCGAGGTAGTCATCCCAGAGCCACCGATATGACTTTTTGGCACCTGGAGAGGGACAGAAGTGGATGAGTCGGCAGGTGGGGCGTGGCCTGTGCTTAAGACCCAAAATTTGCCGAAAGGGAAGACAAGACCCCAGGGTCCTAAACCATTAGGGATCCTATGGGGAGGCCCGATCGGTCTTGACAGCGACTGACTGCAGCCTGGCTCTACGTGGGGGTAGCAGCCAAAAGAGAAGGCGCATTGGCCCCCGGAGCAGTGCGGCGAGGCCTCGAAATGGGACGCCAAAAGACAAGGCATCCCAATCTTGGCAGAGGAGACTGAAGAACCCCAGGAAGCAGTGTTGCAAACCCAGCAACACTCTGTCCTGGAGCCCTCCGCGAGGAAAAGAAGTGCCACGTGAGGGGCGGTAAAGACATGACTGCTCATTCCGACAAAGAGGCACCTAGGAACACGGGGCAAAAGGGTGAGAAAGGCCCGCCTCAGGAAGATATCGGAGTGGCAGCCTGTGCTGCTGTGAGACCGTTCAGTTCCACAGGAGTACCCTGACTCACGCCATCCAAAGTGACATCGACCGGGAAGTGCTTGGCCATACAGCAACCCACGCCAGGGCGGGGTCCCTGAGGCACCTAGACTCCACAGTCTGTCACCTTGGTGGTGTAAGCCATGACGTGCCCGGGAGCTGAACCTAAGGCGGCGGTCACACGCTACACCTCCTTGTGAGCGGCCCTCATGCCGGCCGACAGTCGAGCAATCTCTTCGGCTGTGAGCTCGTGTGCCGGATCCACATCCTCGTCGTCGTCGTCCAGGAAATTGGACAAACCTGAGGGCGCTTGGGGGTGGAGTGCTTGAGGAATGCCAAAAGGATTCAGGGCACGTCCACCGAGACTTGTCTCTGCTGCAGCGCGTTGTCTTCTTTCGTGTAGTCGTTCTGACAGCTGTGAGTGCTGAGCTTCCGGTGGTTTGGGCGTCATGGTGGCTTCCTTGATACCCCGGCGGGGCGGGGCCTCCGATGTCGGCACCCTGGGCTCGTCCTTGTCTCGCTGACCCGGATGCTGACTCGGATGCTTCGGGATCTGAGGGCTCAAACCAGGTGGCTGTCCAGTATTGGCCGCATTCACCATGGGTGGTGAAGGGGCTGCATGCATATGATAGGGATCCTGGTTGACATGTGTCTCTGATCCCGTGCCCTGTCCTGTGCCAGTGACCGGTGGTATATTGCTTCGAGGCTCGGTATGAGGGGATCTCGGGGCCGTAGAGGTGGAACGAAGAGGAGTTCGTGCAGACTGTGAGGTCCGCATTGCCCTGGCGAGAATGCCCTGCCAGTCCGACTGCGTGTCTCCGGCTCTGGCAAAAAGGGCCGCCGTCTCTGCATCCACAACTCCAGCTTCCTTTGATGCTGGACGTGCTTCCAGGGTGTCCACGAGGTGCACATCTCTCAGGCCTTGGCGGGCTTGCTCCTGGGCCTCTTCTGCATCGCGTAAGTCGCTCGCCAGCTTCTGCATCTTCTGCTTGTAGCGGAGCTTTTCGCGAGAGAAGGCTTCGAGGGCCAGTTTCTCGTACTGGGCCCATTGCTGTTCCAGCTTCTTCCGAGCTCCTTCCATACGGGCAACCTTTTGCTCTGCCCTTCTGGCATGATTGAGTGCCTGTTGAAATACGTTGAGGTATTCGCCAGGACCATACTCGCTGGGTTCGCTCGGAGTCGTTGTCGGAGCCTGGTTGTAGCCCCCAGCATCGAAGGCCGGGAAGGTCGTCGCCGCTCCATCCCAGCCCGAGTAGTCCTTCCAGGCCCGAGTGTTGCGACCACTCGGAGAAGAATATGCCCCACGCCACAAGGAAAAGGATGGCGCGTTGTGTCCATATCCGTCCCATGTCTCCTTGGACTTGTTCTTGTCCCTGCGGCCCATAACAAGGGCACGCAAGAGAATTGCCCTTTCGGCTGCCCCAGTGGAGTGGTGCAGGCAAAGGGAGGCTGTCTGTCTTGCGGTGAGAGGCCGGCCTGAGGCTCGCAGCTTCCTCACCTTGGAACGGAAAGCCCGCTCTCGACGGTGCCAGGAGGGCGAAGGTAGATGCTTCGCAATGGCAGCGGAGGATAGGGCCTTGTGCCGTGCGCAATTCGCACTGGGGCTCTCTATTCCGACAATGCGGCGATTCGAGCCCTAGGGACGACCATCAAACTTACACACAATTTGGACTCAAGACGCAAAGAGCTACGCCCTCATCCCCGAGTACAGAACCGATGTTAACCAGACTGAAGAATCCTCAAACTATAGTTATAACAAAGAAGCCTGAATAAGTAGCAATAGGGTTTGCCCCTGATATCCACCATGAAACCCTAAACCCCCAATGCCCTCAACTCCAAGCCCCTGAACCCGACGAAACCTTACACCCTCAACGCCCTAAACCCTAAGCCCCAAACCCCAAACTCGAAAACTTATTAAGCCCTGAACCCCTCGGGTTCCTGTCCTGTGTGGGCCGGATTCCTAAACCCTGGGCTCTGGATCCTTAACTTACACCATGCGAAAAACGAAAACCCCCAAGCCCCCAAATTCCTAAACCTTGGAACCCCCAAACCCAAACCCGAAGCAAGCCCAAAAGGGCTGTCAAACAGCAACCCCTACAACATGCTCTTAAAGAGTCCTTTATCAGATTTCCTCTGGTTATTAAGACTTCTACACTGGGACCGAAACCTGCTGATACCCTCAAAACTAAAATCGCGAAAAGCCTGACAAAACGACCTGCATGGAACACTTGAGAATAAAATCCTTCTGGGAAAAGCTTCAGAGGAAGCCTGCAAAGTAGAACACGTCTGGAGCCCTTACAGGGACCCTTTGAAGTAGAACCTTCAGTTTAAGGCCGCAAAAACTCTAGAGTAGACTTAAATCTTAAGCCCCAGTTCGTTTAAAACCCAAATTTCGAGAGCCCAGGTACGTAGCCCAAAGCGCTACACCCTCCCAGAACTCTAAAACCGTAAAGGTAAAGCTTTAATATGCGTTAATTCATCCCTACAGACTGAATCCCTTCTAGTACTTGAAGGGATCTTTTTTTGTAGTTCATGCCAGGTAGAGCTTCCCGACCGCCTCCCCGTGGCAGGGGCGACTTTTCTGCAGGTTGATGGAACAGGGGGAATCGACTTCCTTTGCGGTTTAGGGTTTAGGGGTTTAGGGTTTAGGGGTTTCTAGGGGTGTAGGGTTCAGGGGTTTCTAGGGTACTTCAGGAACCTGAATACTTTCTACGATTAGCATCTGCAGCAGCTACAAAACCACCAGTCTCCATCCCACGCAACAGCCCCTTCTGTTCTATCAAGGGTTACTTTTGATGGGTTGATGTACGGGTTCCATGATTTAGACGCTTTCCATATGATAAAAGGGCCTGAACAATGATCGCCCCGAAGCCTCTGATTCTTGGTATCCCTAAACCCTAAACCCTAAACCCTAAACCCTAAACCCTAAACCCTAAACCGTTTTGGTTTTTCATGGGAGCACAGAAGGGCAAGCGCCGGGTCAACAGTCCTCACGACTTAGCACCGTAGTTCCGAAGCCCCGAAAGCCCCAAACCGGAAACCCTGCTAAACCCTAAACCCCGTAAACCCTAAACCCCAAAACCCGGAACCTCTAAACCCTACGGATCCCTTAAAGGAACCCTTATAGTACCCTTTAAAGGAGCCCTAAACCCCCAAACCCTGAACCCTAAAACCCGGCAACCTTGAAGGAAGCCCTGAGTTCGGACCTAGGTCCGTCTTCCGAAAGGCTTCCTTGCCGGCCCTTTGAACGCTTCCGTGGGGTCCCCAGATGTTCTGCGTTCTTTTTGGTGGGTCGGAATAGTCAGAAACAGGATCGGCTTCTATACTAAAGTCTTCTGGCAGTATCAGAAATAGTATCGGTTTCTATGCTAAAGAAGTTTGAGGAACCCTTGTTATGGATCCCATATGAGCCCCTTTAGAGGCCCCTTACTGTGCCAAGCATGAAGGCCTCGAAATAAGCACGAGGAGTTGAAATCTTGCTGATTACGCCCTGAAACCCGGAACTCCTAGCCCCTAAACCCTAAACCCCCAAGCCCCTAAACCCTAATCCCCACACCTGAAGCCTGCGGGAGCCGATGGGGGATCTCAGAAGTCGGCCACAGAAGCAACCGAAATCCTTGGAACGCAGAGGGCTCTCGGCTCTCGGTACTTATATGGGGACCCTTTAAGGGCTCCTTTAAGGGATGTATAAGGGTTCTACTCAAATAAGGCATCCCTAGAATTTTCGGAAACTCCCATATGGGGAAGACTTTTTGCCAAAGGGGTCTGAATATTTCGCAAGGGTGTAGTGTCACCACATAGTCACGGTCCCTCTATGGCTATGCTTTGAACAGCCGAAGCCGTATTCCAAATCAGCAAGGCCGCTATGTTAAGCCTATGAGTACCCGACAAACCTGGAATGCCCTATTCCTCATGAATAGGCCACATTACGGCCCTAGAAGTCCTTGTATAGCCATGCAGCCATGCCATACTAGACCTTAACCCTAAACCCTAAACCCCTGTGGGAACCCTTAAAGGTATTATGTAAAAATCCCGAAAAGGAACCAAACTCCTTAACCTTAAACTCTAAACATCTGAAAAAACCCAAACCCTGTCCCGGAGGGTCCAATTGCTCCCGATTATCGGACTTTAGGGCCTTTTAGGTATCAAAAACCATAAATAAGGACTACTTGGACCCTGAGGATGTGCTGCTTTTCTGTACAAGAAGTCTCAGAGGTTGGAGACAGCCGCGACGCGTCGCATCACCGCCTGTGTGGGACGCTTCTTCCCACGCTCCATGGCATCGCAGCAGGACCCCCGGACCAGGTTTAGGGGTTTGTGGTTTACAGTATTTGGGGGGTTTGGGAGTGTAGGGTTTAGGGGTTTAGGGACTAGAGTTTAGGGGTTTAGGTCGCGTGGGTTTTAGGGTTTAGGGGTTTGGGTTTGGGGATTTAGGGTTTCGGGGTAAGGATCGTATAACGCTTCCTGTCAGGATTCTACCAAGGTTCTATAACTTGGTTATGGCCTAAGGCCTAAAGATGTTAAGGTTTCAAGGTTTCGGGCGGCGGGGGGTTGAACCTTTTGTGGGTTCAGCGGTTCAGGATTGATAGATGGTTCATGCTTTCGGAGAAGCCACAGCTGGGCCATTGAATTGCTTACTAGTAATATGAATACTGCTATTATTCTTCTTGTTCTTATTATTACTATTGTCCTCATGATTGTAATTATGATTTTCATCAGTTTGATTGCCATGTTTGCGTTTACTGTTACTGTTATTATCGTTATTGTCGATGTTGTGTGTTAAGGTTGGTTGGCGGTTCTGTTGGGCCGTGCCCGGCCTAAGTTTAAGTTCCCTGAAGCCAACATCAGCTGCTTTTTGTTTGAGGGCTTAGTTTCAAGTACTTGTGTTAAGAGTGTTCGTTTCTGGTTTATGTTCCGGAAAGCGTCAGGTTTAAATGAAGACTCTACCCGGAAAAACGGCCTGGTAGTTTAAGTAAGAGTCTAGGGCAGGTTAAGGCGGGCCCAAAGCCTAATGACGCCTTATGAACCACCAACTTCGTTGTTTTCAAACCACATCAAAACCGTCCTGCATATGCCATGTTCAGGCTTTCAGCCCCCTGTTGGAGGATGAACCCTCAACTTTTTGCAGGGCTTGGGACCTTCAGGGTTCAGGGCTTTTTGTGTTTAAAGTAAAAGCCAGAAAGTTGGAATATGATTATCCTAAACCCTTTATGGTAAATTATGGGGTATCCTACCCTGAAACCATATTCCAACTTTCTGGAGTTCCCTTTATGTCATCGAAACAACCCAAAAGCAATGCAAATTGTGCCTTCGAAGGCCCCGAAACCCATCCGAATGATAGCAACCCAAACTGTGTCTCCAAAGGCCCCCACATGTTCATCAAATTATATCGGTTTGTATGTCACCGAAATTGGAAAGAAGATAAGAACGACAATCTCTAAGAGTTCGATCACATCCATCCGAGTAAGCAAGCAGCAACTCAGACTGTGCCTCCGAAGGCTGCCACCCCCAAAGTCTGCAGCCCCCAATTAGCACCACCACCACCAGCACCATTAGCACCACCACCACCACCACCACCACCACCAGCACCATTAGCACCACCACCACCAGCACCATTAGCACCACCACCACCACCACCACCACCACCACCACCACCACCACCACCACCACCACCACCACCACCACCACCACCACCACCACCACCACCACCACCACCACCACCACCACCACCACCCGCTTTTGCGACTTGGACAACTGGACTGCTACGGTGCGCGACACTGTCCAGAAACAGTTCTGCACGGTGAGCCTTAAGCCATGCATTCCCCCACAAACCCTCCATCAGCGCCTCCAAGTTTGCACCCTTATTCCCTTACCAAACCCAACCTAACAAACAAATCCACTACCTACAAATAATTACTACTACTACTACTACTACTACTACTACTACTACTGCTACTACTACTGCTACTACTACTGCTACTACTATTATTACTACTACTACTACCACTACTACCACTGCTACTACTGCTACTACTACTACTACTACTACTACTACCATTGCTACTACTACTACTACTACTACTACTACTACTACTACTACTACTACTACTACTACTACTACTACTACTACCACTGCTACTACTACTACTACTACTGCTACTACTACTACTACTACTACTACTACTACCACTGCTACTGCTACTGCTGCTGCTACTGCTACTGCTACTACTACTTCTACTTCTACTTCTACTTCTACTTCTACTTCTACTTCTACTACTACTACTACCACTACTACTGCTACTGCATGCTGCTGCTACTACGGCTACTACTAACTACTACTCCTGCTGCTGGCAGCCACCCCGCCCACGGCCACCTAGGAACTCGTTGTCGTATTGGAGTAGTAGTCTAGTTTTATTCGGTCCCAGCGCGCCCCGTGGACACTTTTCCCAATCCGCGCCCGCACCCTTCCTCTCCCTGGGTGTAGGGTTTCGGGTTTAGGGTTCCTTTGAAGGGTACTCTAAGGGTTCCTTTAAGGGATCCGTAGGCTTTAGGGTTTAGGGCTGTGTACTTCCAATAAACCCATGGAGCCTTGAGCCCCTACACCCCGCAGTCCGTTAAAGCCCCATCAACCTGTACTTGGAGGGTCGGGGGACTTAGTAAGTAGGCAGTAAGTAGACTTATAAGTACCATACAAGGGACGCTAATTGGGGTTATGGTAGTTATAAGTCCCTAAAATAACCAGTTACTAAGTCCCCCGACCCTCCAAGTATGGACTCGTATGAAGCCTTTAGAAAGCCCTACAATAAACCCCATAAAGTTGGAAACCGGATTAAGGCCAAATAGTGCTGGGATTCCCTATACATTACTCTTAAGGACTTTTCGGCTTCTGCTGTATATGTGTGCCCGGGGTTTCGGTTTTTTAACCCTCTCTCCAATGGTATCCCCCTCCGCAATCGCCCATGGATACCAGCCTTGGCGCATCCCCTCCCATCCTTCCAAACCCCTTCTAATGCCCTTGAGCGGAGCCTGGCGGGGAGAGGGGGGGGGGGGTTACTCCAATGCTTTGTTCAGGTATCGCTGCACTGGGGTAGCCAGGCAATACCATGGACTCGAAACAAATAGTGTAGAGGCCTTGATAAATAGAATAGGGTCTTCAGGGATACGTTATTACAAATAATATTGTGAGGAACCTCCAAAACCCTATTCTAATTATTAAGGCCCCGACATGACCGGGGCAAACGTTTTGAAGAAATCCACCAGGGAGCCACTGTGGTATTCGAAGTCATCCGGTATGTGTTGCTAGTGTCCGGAAGCTGCCTTCAAGGCTATTTACGATATATCATGCGAGGGGTAGGGGCAAAGGGGAGAGGGGGTTCGCCTACCCTGGCACATACGGTTGATGATAGGCATGATACATTACCTAGAATAAGGAATATACTTACCATAATTCCCAAATATCACCAACCGTACACCCTAAACCGTATGAAGCCCCATGAAACCCTGACCAAGGCCATCCGCTGCCCTGCTGGCGTGGAAGGCCCACCGACACTTCCCAGTATAATGGGCTCCAAAACCCTATTCTTATTATGAAGGCCCCTCTATTGCTGTACCCGAACCGTCAGTTCGAGTGAGGGTTTAGGGCTTTGGGTTTGAAGGTTTCGGTTTTCGACCAGGTTTAGTGTAGGGCTCGAGGGTAGACTGTTTTGTCAGGCCGCTACATCGACGTTGACCCAGTTTTTAGTTGGGAGATCCTGTGTTCAGGGTGTAAAGCTTACAAAGCTCAGGGTGCAGGGTTTAGGGTGTAGGGTTTAGGGTGTGGGGTTAATTACTTTCAATGTGATATACCTGCTTATATCGTTCTTGTGTCTTCGCGATATTTTGAAGCACGGTTGCTTGGGGGTTTCTCCAGGCCACGGATCATTTTCCAAGGTCCCGAGGGGAGCACGTCACTCTTGTAGCGAGGAACCGCAAACAACAAAAACCCTAACCAGCAACCCAATAGCAACCCAAAGTCTGAAACCCAAGACCCTTAGGACCCAGAGTAGGCCCTTGTTCTTTTAAGGTCTAGGTTCCCGTCTAACCCCCCCTGAAACCCAAAGGGCACCCTGTTTATTTCTAGGTTACTCTTAGGTCTAGCTTTATCCGTAAATCCTGAACCCTGAACCCTAACGCGGAGAAGCAACCATGTAGTCTTGCCAAAGCCTGAACCAAGATAGGACAACCCACGCCCGGAAACAGAAGCCCTAAACCCGAAACTCAAGGTTTAGAGGTTTCGGCGCTGAGGCTACCGCCCTAGATCCCTTGCAGGTCTTTTGAGTATCTAGGAAGGCTTCATCGTTGAGCTTTACATACCTTTCGAGATCCCACAATACCCATGATAAGGTTTATAGTATAAACTCCCGAACCCTTCAACCTTATAGAGCCCTTCAGAGTATTAGGGTTTGGGGTTTTCCAGCCTGCGGGCCATTATTGTGAAAGAACCATCACGAGCAGCTGAAGAGGCCGCTTCCTCACGCTGACGGGCCCGACTGCGCCAACGCCGCAGGCCTCTAAAGTAAAAGCCAGAAAGTTGGAATATGATTATCCTAAGCACTTTATGGTAAATTATAAGGTATCCTACCCTGAAACCATATTCCAACTTTCTGGAGTTCCCTTTAAGGGGCCTCACGGAGCAAAGCTTTGGCTTTGCCTAAGCCTCCGAAAGTGAGCCGAGTAGTAGAGTAGGTAACCTTTAACCTTTTTTGGGTAGTATAGTCTCTATATATAATCCCTATATAACCAGAAAGGTTAACCGTTAACCTTTAGTTCCCCATGATACCCGACAAGTAGGTAAGTAAATTGAAACGCTTCGCGCCGCCCGCCTCGGCCCGGCTGCCATCCGAATGATACTGCACTGTACCCGGAATCTCTTAATGCAGGAATATAGGAATATAGGGTTCTTTGACAGGGGTCTCAAAGGGCTCCAAATCATACGAAGGGTCTTATAACCATTTAAGGTATATTTCTTAGTTACAGTTAATTATAGGGTTTTGCAGTTTCTTGGTACAAGCGCCGCACAGATCTTCGACAGCCCTCGCATATGCCAGGGCACCCCCATGTGAGGTATTCGCGGTTTGGGGCTGAGGGTTTAGGGCTTGGGTCTGATAACCTCGCAGGGAGCGGGAGGGGGGCGGGTGAAGGGGTGGGAGGCACAGGGTGGCGGGGTGGCACTGAATTGGTACTCCTTCTTTTGCACCATCATGAACATTGGGACTTGATGAGTACTATAGCAAGAAAATCGAGGGCATTGTATCACGAGCACCGTCCCAGGTATTGTCGATTCTGCTTGGAGGGTCGGGGGACTCAGTAAGTAGGTAGTAAGTAGACTTATAAGTACCCTAAAAGGAACCCTAATTGGGGTTATGGTACTTATAAGTCCCTAAAATAACCAGTTGCTAAGTCCCCCGACCCTCCAAGTACAGCATCCTGAATGACGTGCCTTGCCCAATCGCTCGGCCTTGTCCACCCCAGGTACCACTTAGGTACCGCCCCCACTCAGTAATGGTTGAATCATATTCATAATATAGATTAATCAGGATCTTAATAGTAGCCCTATTATAGACTCTTACTGTAAGGGTGCCGTACCTAAGGTACCACCACGACACCTGGTATCTAAACGCTATAGACAGGCGCGAGGTCGTATGCCACAAGACTGAAATGGGGATGTGTGTGTGTGTGCGTCACGATGCAGCTATATTTTCAAGCAGACCTGATTCGAGTTCAAGTAGATGTCTCAGTCTTCAGGATGACCGAGACTTGGACATCAAACTCTGATAGGTTGAACAGTTTCAGGACGAAGGTGCATTCTACTGTGACATGCCGCCAAAACAAAAACGCGCTTCTTTCTGACTTCGCGAAAATCCTGAAGTCAAACCCTCATTGTTCAACCATACCATCCCCACCAAACCCTTAAAAACATAACAAAGCCTACACATACATGTGTTAGACATTCTTTTTAAAGCCCTATATTTTCAAGCTCTGTGTCAGCCATGGAGCTCTGGCGTTTTCTTGCCGTCCTTACTCTGGCGCGGGCAGACGACTTCGGCCCTTCCGACCCAACCAGCAGCTGTACTAGTGGTAGTGGTAATGGTAGTATGGTAGTAGCAGCAGTATGCGTAGTAGTGGTAGTTGTAGAAGAAGCCCTGGATTTAGACCCTCATGTGTGTGATATCCCCAGATGGCCACTACAACCTACAACACCACACCACTTACCAGTGCCACCACCACGACGGCGACCACTACTGCTTCTACCACTGGACTGCTGTGGCTAGGGCTAAGGCTACGGGCTAGGCCTTAGCCTACTGCTACTGCCCCGTTCTCTTGCTAGCGCTGCTACTGCAACTTGTGCTGATGCTGCTTCTGCTGCCTCTCCTGGTGTTGCTGCTTCTACAGCCGCTGCTAGTCTGCTTGTGTCATCTCTACCACAGCTGCAGATGAAGATCTCCATATGCATTACCCCGTTTGTTGGGGTGCTTCCGAAAAGACCTTGCATGCAAACTCCGCACGAGACCACCTAATATAGGGGCCTTAGTAATTGGAATAGGGTTTTGGGACGCATTATACCGTAAATCTAATCAGGAGCCCCCAAAATAGTTTTCGTTATGATTAAGGCCCCTCTGCTGAACCCTTATAATAACCCTAGTAATCCTCATAGACCCCTTTTTGGTAATTAGTGAGGCTCCCATATTTGAGCCACCACCTCTTACTACAAAGGCTCTGCAGGGGGTTTCATGGACCAGGGACTCCACGCAACCTGTAAGTGAGTACTATAGAGGCCTTCATAAATACCTAAACTAATTTGGGGTTTCCTTATTACAATTACAGTATAATATACCCCAAAACCCTAGTCCAATTAGTAACCCTTATATTATCGCTTCTTAAAGTGCCTCATGTTGGTGCCAGGAATGATCCTCATAAACGGAACTTGGAATCTCGGTGTTGCTCAGGTTGGACGCATGCAAAGCTGGAGGCCAACATTACACTGCAGGCAGGATGCGAACAAAGTGTGTGCAGCCCCTCAGTGACTCGTAGTAGTAGCAGTAGTAGTAGTAGTAGAAGTAGTAGTAGTAGTAGCAGTAGTAGTAGTAGTAGTAGTAGTAGTAGTAGTAGTAGTAGTAGTAGCAGCAGTAGCAATAGTAGCAGCAGCCCCTCAGTGCTCCGCAGCAAAGCATTGGGGGGGTTTTCACTCTTTCGCGTAGATAACCTAGGATCTCGACCGTACGCCCGACACCCTCACCCCCAAGCCCCATTCGTATGCTCATCGTCTATGTACTACAACATCTTGCGTAAGACGAAAAGGATTGGATTTGGGGAATGGAGCTGCCTCAACCCAACAACTTCTCGAAAGGTAAAACCCGCACGATCTGTAAACGAAAGAGATGATGATGATAATGATGATGATGATGGTTTCGGTATTTTCAATGGAGCTCATCACGTTGATGTTGAGGGATGCCCCGGGCATAGGTACTGGTGTCACAACTACCAGTGCCGACTCAGTACCGGTATCTCCGCTACTCCTCCCCATGAATCATCTTCCTCCCACTCCTTCTACAACAACTACAACTCCTACTACTACCACTACTACTACTGCTACTACGATGACGACGACTACTACTACTGCCTACTGCGAATACTATCAACACTTCCACTTCCACTCCCGCTTCTACTTCTACTACTCTATTGCTCCGACTACTTCTACGGCTACTTCGGCGACGACTACTACGACTACTACTACTACTACTACTACTACTACTACTACTACTACTACTACTACTACTACTACTACTACTACTACTACTATTACTAGTACTACTAGTACTACTAGTATACTACTACTACTACTACTACTACTACTACTACTACTACTACGACTACTACTACTACTAACTACTACTACTACTACTACTACTGCTACTGCTACTGCTACTGCTACTGCTACTGCTACTGCTACTGCTACTGCTACTGCTACTGCTGCTGCTACTACTACTACTACTACACTTCTGCTACAACTACTACTACCACCACCACTACTACGACTACTACCACTACCACTGCCGCTGCCACTGCCACGACTAGGACTTCGACTACGGCTTAGACCCCTGCATGGTTACGGCCACGGCCACTGCTACGGCTACTGGTGCTGGTACTGCTACTGCCACTGCCACTGCCACTGCCACTGCCACTGCCACTGTCACTGCTGCTGCTGCTGCTGCTGCCACTGCCACTGCCGCTGAAACTGCCACTGCCACTGTCACTGCCGCTATCACTACTACTGCTACTGCTACTGCTACCGCTCCCGCTCCCGCTCCCGGTCCCGCTCCCACTCCCGCTCCTGCTCCTGCTCCTGCTCCTGCTGCTGCTGCTGCTGCTGCTGCTGCTTCTGCTGCTACTTCTGCTGCTGCTTCTGCTGCTACCGCTGTGCTGCTGTTGCTCCTGCTGCTACTACTGCTAGGCTAATGGTTCTTTTTCAAAGAAGAGCACTACGCACTGCATAATGCGTCATCGACAATATTTTGTCAAAGCCTTTACTACATGCCCTTGTTGCCGCCTCGAGATTTCTCTACCAAAGAGACATCCCAACATGTCAAAAGCACATTGTAAGCCTCAAGTCCAACTAGATTTCAACCACCGCCTCATGGGTTTTTCGCTGCATCCGCAAGCAAGACAGACACACTTCTCACATTGCACATTGACGCAAAAGCTTTTCAGAAGTTCTCATCCTGAAACCTGATTGAAGACCTTGTCTGCCCGGTTGTTTGACTCGCAACCACCGGCTTGCAGAATAGTTCCAATAAAAGTTGTGGTTCTGGCATGCTTCAACCGGTGATGAGTTCATGGGGATACGAAGATCACTTCGAACTCGAGTCCGAATCGGACGGTGATGTCGGACCTACACCCACACCTAACGTCAAAGCTCCGTGCATCGGCGTCTTCAACATGTCTTAGCAAGTGGGCACGTGTCATTGCTTCTGGAATGCTTGCCAGGATCAGAACGTAACCATCGTGACGACTGGGTGAGCGCTCTAAAGCCCTGAACCCAAAAGCGTAAACCCTGAACCCCAAACCCTAAAACCCTGAACCCTAAACCCTATACCCTAAACCCTCATGCTCGCATGGCCGCTTGCGCAAATGCCTATGCCTGAGCTCCTCGGATCTACCCACATGGGAGTTTCCGAAGGTAGGGGACCCTTTAAGGGTTTCCTTTAAGGGATCTGTGAGGGTTCTATTAAGGGTTTAGGTTTGGCAGTTTCCGAAGATAGGGGACCATAGCATAGTACCTTAGGATCCTTGTCATAACGACCGCAAAATAAGGTACCCCTTCAAATAAGTTCAAACCTTTTTCCGGAGGAGAAGCACCATGCAGGCGTTGGTTCGTTTTGGACAGGACAACCTAGCCCAAGAACGCATCCCCTCATGCAAAGCTTGAAACAAAGAACATTCACAACTTGCAACAAACAAAAAACATCCGTAAGCTCTCACAAAAATATCGAAAGTTGGTTTGTTAAT